GTCTCTAAATTGACTAGGCCAAATCTACGGGCGTTACAAAATCTTCCAATGCAAGGCTCTAAAACTCCATCTTATAAGAAGCCTCCTTCCAAAATCCAAGAAAGCACTCCCAAAATGGATGGGATAGGAGAGGGGAGGCTCAAAGTGGTGAAAGGGAGGCTAAGGTTTCTCTCAAGAGGCTTTAGATGTGATGGAGGATGGAAAAATACCCCAAAAACACGGAACCACCCTTTAAATATGTACAAAACCCTAAAAATTTGTGGGCTTCGGCTTCCCAGCGCTCACCTCGTGACAGCCTGATTGTCACTTTGTGATGACTCATCACGTCGTAGGGATCTGCTCCTCACCTCGTGACGACGTGTTTTTACCCAAATCCACTTCAACTTCAAACAGTCATAACTTCTTCGTTTCAACTTTGTTTTTGGCGATCTTTATAAGCACGGAAAAGTATTAACTAGCCCCACAACCCTATCTAATTATTTTTAGCTTAATACACATCGAAATAAAACCATAATCAATGCAAGAAGCTTGATATCTAACTTTTCCCATTTTACCCTTTTGCTTCAAAGCACGATTCGAGGGCTTAATCACTTAACCTAACATTATCATCATTCGATAGGGTCTAAAATATGTTCCCTTAAAGCCCAAGACCTAAACTCGATCGATCTACAGGCCGCTATCCCGATAATAGAAACACCCGAAAACTAGGTTTTACATAAACATAGAGAATATAATTTGATCATGGATTACAAGCTCATGCTACTATAAATAGGATCAAAAGACAACTCATTCCTTAATGTTTAGTCTACAATAAGATATATGAATTTGTAATATCATTGGAGTATTACTTATAATCCTTTGAGTATTTTACTAAGGATAAAGTACTGGCATTTTCAAGAATGTGCAGTGAATGAAATGAAGTAAGAAGACTGAAACATGGAGAAGATAATTTGCTTATGATATCGAGCCCTTGTTACTATTCATAGGATAAAAAGAGAACTCTTTTTCCCAAAATGGTTTGTCTATGGTCTTATGATTCAAATTGTTTATACAATGTTTCATCAAATTGTTCTAACTTATTTACATGTTTAACATGTTAAAAGAAAGTCATGATATATGTGAAACTAGTATAGTAAAAATAGTTCATAGTTGATTCAAATATTTGAATAAAATATATTATTGTGAAACTATCTTCTTGGACATGAGAATTGTATTACCAAATATCCAGTTGGATAGGATTTTAGAATTCATTTGACCACAAGTCTTGTTATAAATCTAAGTCTTATCCGTCCAGATGGATGACAAAAGTAGTATATGATAGTGTGAATATATGTTGGAATTAGTTTGACTAATACACCATTCTGATTAACCACAATAAGTAATGATTCAAAAATACATCCAAAAGGTTTGGGTGAAATCTATTTGTGGAATCAGAGGCTTGAACAAGTAAAAAAGAATTGCATTACCTAGTATCTGGTTGGATCGGATTTTGGGTATCATTTGAACGCAAGTATTATGATAAATGTTAATGTTTTTCAAGATAAATGATGAATACATCACTTAATGATGTGAATATATGTTGAAATTAGTTCACATTAATGGACTGTTTAGATTAACCATGATCCATGGTAAGACCAACTTCATATGAACATGTTTATCAGAATAAACAAAAGTTTGGAACCTTTCAGGTGTTCAGATCTCTCATAAAGAGGAGTTAAGAATCAACTAGGCAAAAGGATGAGATACTCAGATCTAATAGGGATATTGAGCATCTTAGTAAAAATATATCAGTCATCTAAGGAAATATGAAAGAATTTCATGAGTTGTCTCCATCTAGAACATTTTCACAAACGGTGTTAGTTGGATAGAGGAACAAATCATTGTTTGATTTGGTACTTGATGAGTCATGTTATGCTTACAGACAGTTTATGTATTTTACCATGAATAGTGTTACAAGAGTCCTTGATCTTTCACCAACTAAGAAGGTTCATAAGACAGTCTATGTGATATGGAGTAGGGTTCAATCCTCACCAGAACATATGGAAGTCTACGATTATGAGGCTTATGCTCTCCGTGAAGCGCTCGACAATCTAGAACTTAGAATAAAGATGTGAAATCTCATTGGATATCCCAACAAGACTTTTGGGTAATTATTTTACAAACATCATGAGAATAAATGTTTCTTGCTCGAATGTCAATCTTCCAAGGAAGGGATCTGATATCAAAAAGGGTTAGTGGGAACCATACTAATCTTGATAAGATTCAAGAGTTAACCAACAAAGAACCTAAAGTTGGCCCTAGAATTCAATTCGAAGTTGAAAGAACTATTGAGAAAACTGACATACTAAGTGGTGAAGTGTTAGCTTGGAAGATTACCAAGTAATACAGTATAGTGGATTTAACTATGAGCTTAGAGTATATTGCATCTAGTTAGAGTGCAAAGGAAAACTATGTGAATAAAACAGATTCATTAATGACATTGGTGTTGAAATTCAACCATTGATGGTTTGAAGGTTCTTGTAATTATAAAGGTAAATTTAGCTTGAGTATGCATCCCAAGTCACACAAGTTCACATGACACATACTTAGTAAGCACTATCACATTTTGATAGTTGTTTGAATGTGAAGACATTATAGTTAATAGAACCATATCGAAATATAATCTTCTCAATACATTCCTTAAGCAATGCCACTGATTAATTTTGACAGTCAAACAAATTCAAAAGGCATCAACAAGGGTTGCTTTTTTCTTGCTCTTTATCGCACTTGGTTATTCCTCGTAAAATGAGTTTGGTGAGGGACTTAAAGGTGAATATGATCCATTATTTGCTTTGGCTTGAGCTGTAACATCCCAAAAATCATAGTAAAATTTTCATTTTTCCAAAACAACCCCAAGACAAAAATTGTTTAAAAAAATGTTGTTTCAAAAGTATAATTCATATATCAGAGTAATCCCAAAATCCAATAACATAAAATCCAAAGGATGTGCACGATCACTCCTTCGCTTTGCCACGATCATCTGAAGTACCTGAAACAATAAACCAAAACTTTAAGCCAAAGCTTAGTGAGTTCTCCCAAGGTACCACAAACATATAATGAAATAGAAACTAGGTCCACAACCTCCTGGTTGGATTACCCCTAGCCCAAACCCTTCGGTTTGAATGCCTCGGTCCACAACCTTTCGGTTGGATTGCCTAATACATATTGGGTCCACAACCTCCTGGTTGGATTACCCCAAGCCCAAAACCCTCTGTTTGGAATGCCCCTTCCCACAACCTTTCAGCTGGAATGCACCGCTCTGTCGACTGACAGCACAAAGCAGTACAGCCTCAACTCCACCATACCATGTCGACATATACATAACAAATAACATATATCTATCAACAGATAAACATATAACCAGTCATCAGACAAACATGCAGATCTAACAGTTCACTACAATATAGCAACATCCTCTATACCAGGATACGTCACTACTAGAAAAATAACCTTTTACGACGCGCATTGCGTGTCGTAAAACGCTCAGACGACGTGCAAATGTGTGTCAAGGAAGGCCCTGTCATAACGAGAGACGACACGCTTTTGGGCGTCGTCTATTTACGACGCGCATTTACGAAGCACATTTATGACACGCATTTACAACGCGCATTTACGACACGCAATGCATATCAAGGAAGGCCCTGTCATAAAGGAAGACGAAACGCATTTGCATGTCGTAACCTTACGACGCGCGTGTTTATGACACGCAATGTGTATCAAGGAAGCCCCTGTCATAAATGAAGATGACACGCATTTGCATGTCATAAACTTCAGTAACCATTTACGATATGCATTTACAACGCGTGTTTACGATACTTATTTATGCATAATACAAAAATATGTAAACAAATATATACCAAAACAATCAATTTCATCTAATAACATCATGTCAAAAAATTGTAATACATTCATATTAAGGGGATGTAATTGTACATTGTTATTAAGAGGTTTTCCCTAACTATATAACCTAATATTATATTGCTATTAAGGGGCACCTTCTTGTTTCTACTTATTGTTATGCTTCTGTTTTCACATGATACCTGTTTTCATCAACACATTAGTATACAGAAAGACTTCAAGCATCATCAATCTATGTTCTAAAACTACATGTGAGACCCATGTATTACATGGGTTAATTAAAAAAAATTAAATATCAAAATGTAAACATTAAGTATTTTTTAAAATTAAATTTTAAAATAAGGTAGGAAAAACATATTTATTGCAATTTAAGATCATATTTATTACATTTAATACTTTATTTATATAGCTATATGTATTATGTGGGTTTTTAATTTTAAAATTAAAAAAACCTAAAAATTGACATGTGAATATTATTTATTTCAAAAATACCACAAAATGACAAATGTCAAAACTTATGAGAGATTGACATGTGGCAAAATGGATCTTCATTTATTAGAGTAGATATTAAAGTTTAATACACATGTAGTGAAATACCTTTTGCCAAGAATCCAGGCTTCAATACAGCCCATACCTGTATAAAATATTAAAATTTAAAACACATGTAGATTATAATATTAAAATGTTTTTTTTCATTAAAAAAAATGCGTATAAATATCAAAAAACAAGATAGGAGCCAATCATTCTATGACACAAGGAAAAATATCACTAGAGAACTGTGAAAAAAATATGTATGGGTGGGGAGTGGAGAAATGTAAGTAGAGTACCTTAGATGTAAGTGTGGAACCAGTTATGCTGATGAAGTTAGCTCCTGCTTCATTTGCAAGTGCTTTGGCAACAAGTGTCTTCCCAGGAGGCCCAAAAGGGAATATTCCTTTGCAAGGCTAACAACAAAAATTGAAAGAGCAGTTGCATAACAACATAGACAAAGCAAAAGAAAGCCAAACAAACAAACAGATCTAAAAGGGGATAATATCTCAGATCATGTTACTAAACAAAACCTATTATACTTTAACATAAAACATTAAGAAAACAACACAAAGTTAATCACTTGAAGACCCATCATCATCATTTTCATGCAATGTAACCACTTTCTCTATAAATCTTTTCCTCACTCCTTCAAGAACAGCTTCTCTAGAAGCTTCACCATTGAGTCCATCATTAAGAACAACATATGATTGGCATAAAATCATAACAACACCTTCTGGAGTGCATCTCCTACCAAAAGTATGCAACCCAACATAATTTGCCTTCACTACAACAACAACAACACAGTTGGAAGATTACAATCTGGATAATTAGGAATGCAATCAGTTGATATAATCTTGACAAACTTGGTAGCTGAATACATTGTTGTCAGTTCTTCCACACACTGCATTAGAACTCCACACTCTGGGTACCAATTCAATCACAAGTTCCCATTAACAACCATATAATCAAAATCAATTGCTAATCAATAACAAACAAGATAGTAGTGAATTAGTGATTACCCATCTTTATATAGAATAACAACCACCCACACATCAGATGGAGCTTGTGATACCTCACGCACAAAATCGGATCCTGAAATGGGAATATCTGACCGAAACTTTGCACCTTTCACTGTTTGCTTCATCTCTGCTAACCTCTTTCTCCTTCAAGAACATAAAAGAAAATGAAACCATGAAAATCTCACATGAAGTTTAATGTCCTCATAAAATGAGATTAGGATTGAGGGAGTTGAATGTACCTGTATTCTTCGAGGAAACGATTTTCATCCAGATCATCTTTTAAATCTTCGAGTTCTTCTTCTGTCTTGTTATCGATCCAAGATTTGGTTTTAGGTTTGGAATCTTCATATTCTACAGCAGTGAAAGGATCGGGTTTGAAGGCAGGGGTTTGGGAGGTAAGTTCCTGAGTCTTCTTTGAATATCATCCCATTGATTTGATGCTCCTTCAACATCTTTGTATACAAAGTGATAGTCTGCCATTGTTGCTAACTATTTATTGATCTTTGTCTTGTGAAGATCAGCTTTATCACTTGGCTCCCAAGATCTCTGCAAGCATAACGAATAATGGGTATTAAGACTTAAGAGATTACTAGAATATGTCCAAACAGCTAGTGTAAATGGATAAACCATCTCAGGAGATGCATAAATTTCACTTGATTGATTGCTTCGGAATTCATGTCATTGATTCACATTATACACACGTCTGTAGTCTATACCAATAAACTGCAAAAAAATTTCTTGATTGCTACATGCTAACAGTTTACTTCATTGCTTCTGTCCCAATTACCACCAGCAAAGGGACTAAGGGAAACTACCTTCATAAATCATACCCTGAGTAGATTTCCACGAGATAAAACAGAATAGACTGCTATGATAAAATAAAATAAAAAATACAGACCCCGAGTAGATTTCCACGAGATAAAAGCTCGGGTCTTTTCTTTGGTTGCTATGTGAAAGCAAGATTTTAAAAAATAAAATTACCAAAGTGGGTGGAATGCATTCCCCATATATGACAATCCACATTCCATAAAAAAGCACCATGTCCGGTTTTTTCCTTCAAAAGGCGCCACTTCCTTGGAGCTTCCAAGTTAATCTGACCATCTTCACTTAGGCCATTCTTGTGCCATTCGCAAGGTTCCTCTGTTAGGAATCTTCCTGCCTCATTACTTGCAGATAAGTAATCAGTCTTGAGAATCCAACTGTCAAGTTAAGTTAAACTTAGAACCAATCACAAAGCATGGTAAAGACTCGAGACTCAAGAGATGTTTCATGTTTGTTGTTTACCTTCCAGATTTGGGGGTAATCTTCTCAGATTTTTGTTTGTTTTTATTTTCAATAGGAATTTGCATATTTTCCTTCTGTACTTCAAAATCACACGCTCTGGAACTTGGTTTACCCTTCTTGTTAACAGTTTTTGTTTCGGTTACTTGTTTGACAGAATTAGAAAGACCAATATCTTTCTTAGTTTTGCTCAGAGGAAGTTTATTTCTTTTAGTTGCCTTGTTGTTCTTCACATTCTCTGTCCCTCCCTGAACCTTATCCTCCTTTTCCTTTTCAGATGTTGAATACACATGGTCAGTGCTGCTGTCATCATTCTTACAAACACCTTCTTCTGTTGTCTGCAAATCATTTACATTTCTCTTGCTTCTCTTAGAAGCTCGAAGTGGACAGAAACTGAGTTCCCAGCCTCTGAAGCGTCTTCATATTTTTCATTACTTTGATTTACATCATCACCATGTGCATTTTCTTACATCACTATATCAACAGTATGTAGCCCTAGCCCATGCTCCTCTTTATGCTCTGGAGACTCAGTTTCATCATCCATCTTCTCAATATCCTTCTCCTTCTCTTATCTCTATCTCGCTCAGTGAAGTGATGATGATCCAATCAAAAGTAGTGGCTGCTACCTTAAAAGCACAAGAAAGAGAAAGAATTAAAACCTAGTTAACATACTTGAAGGTTGAAGCTGCAAGTAGAATCATAAGAAGATGAAGTTACCACTTAATAGAGCAAAAACTCTGTCCAGATCAGGTAAATGTTAATGTTGAATTAGCGGAAGCTCTAAACAATTGATCTCATGTGGTGCCTATTTAAACAAAAATTACATATAACATCCAAAACTATAAGAAATATTACAAATTTTATGTTGTAGCAATTTCCATTTCATGACTATAGTGTCATACCTGATCTGAAGGAGATATCCCACATTGTCCAGTTAAATCATGAACAAATAATCCCAGGTGTATCCATCACCTGTATCAACAACTGGCATTGTCCTCAAAGTCTAAAAATTAAAATAATTTATAAAGTTGTTAACTTGATTAAAAAAAACATGGTTTGTTGGGATTAAACTGATGGGTTATGAGCATTCTAACACTCCTAAGTGTACATGCAACCCTAAATACCTTGGATCTATGTCTTCTCTATTATACATGCAAATATGAATATTCCAAGGTATTACCCTAACTAGCATACAAAACATTGATACTTGGGTAATAAACTAGATAGAAATACATACCTTGTTGATGTAGCTTGACTCCATAAAGCTCGAGAGCCTAGTGCCCCAAGTATGACACCTCAAATGGTTCACACAACATCACCAACACATGGAATAACCATGAGAAGAAGACACTCATGCTCAAATCGGCTAGCCCTCATATATATATCACTAGTGCCAATTTCTTGAGCTAAAGGGGTCCTTATATAGTGTGCATATTAGGGTTACACCATGTAACCCATGAATTTACCCATTCCTTATGCTCCATGGGTTTTAACCTCCATGGAGTATCCATGGATCACCACATGGGTTAAACCCAACATAAGGAATCATGGATCATAAGCCCACATATATAAGAATGAATGATTTACACAATCAATCCCCATATATTTAATTAGTCTCTTTTTTATCACAAAATTAAGTCCAAATTAATTCTTGGTCAATACTAATTAAATAACATGATTTCATATTAATATATTAGAACTTATAATATATTACTATGTCACAAATGTCTTCTCCTCACAAATGGTCTATCCAAATGTTTCGATGCCATGCAACCTAAATTGACCATGCCGAGTCGGGTCAAGTACATACCAATTATAGTTATGGACTTAGACACTAATCCAACAGTCTCCCACTTGGATAAGTCTAAAACTATTATTGCGTATGACTTCAAGAACCAACTGGCAATCGTAGCTCTCAAAAGTCGTTGTCGAACTCTGACCTTGTCGATGAACTCTAACCTTTGTCAATGACTTGTCCATTAGATAAGGGATCATATATTCCTCCATTCTAGATATCATATCGACTGAGACATGGATTATAAATCATTCTCTCTGTCCATTTGTTGTTTCCCGATTTCCGATTTATGACGACTGACTAATTGAACAAATCAAATCAGTCCAGGCCTGGCCGAGCACTTATATTTGTCTTCACTAAATCATCGAGGGGCCCACAGATATCGCTTTTATCCCGAAGGTAAAAGGAATGGATAAACTTCGACTCATATGGCTTGTTCTACTACTTGTTGAATCATACACAAAGGCACGTTTTATAACATCGAGTTACCAATGCCTTTTCGTGCAATCAATGTATAACCAACTCATAGTAACAACTCATATCTCTAGGTTTGAAGAATATAAGATATTATCGTCTCATGATCACTCGTGATAAAATCCATGAAGTGAGTCAAATGAGCATGGGTTGAATCCAATACTCAGAACTTATGAGCACTCATGAGTGTCGTAGCACCGCTTTGTCCAACATCTTAGATCTCTACAAGCCAACCCATGACAGTCTTGATTCATATCTACTTCCAACATATGACCGACTGCGGATGGTTTGAATAACTTAGTCATTCGGGAAGAATGACCTAGTTTATTCTGGAAGTCAAAACATGCAAAATGAAACACAAGAATAATCGAATCCAATATGGTCTCAGAACTTATGAATATAAATAAAACACCTTTTATTTATCACCATATTGATTACACATTATTCATTGCATACTGTTTCAAACTATCAATTTTATACTTGAATTAAAACAATAGTTGTCCCATGCTCCAAGCATGTACACTATGTTTTTCTAAACACTAGTCATGCCATACACCAAGTATGCATACTACATTTGTCTATGATCTTTACTTTGTAAAATAGATCGATTAAACATAATTCCAATGATTCTCATTTCACAGTCCCACAATCCTCACCACAAATGCAAGAATTTCAAATTCCTGCCATTTACCTAAATCTGTTAGATTCTAAACTTATATGCATTGATCCTCTTGTAATGATTATGCACAAAGTCACAAAGACTTGTCAATTGACATTAAAGAGTATTCCAATGGAGATCATTCCATGCAAACGAAGTCTCAAATTCAAAGTACATTGCTTTGAACATCCTTCTTGCATTAAGTTTCCTAATGTCACACAGATTTAATGAATAACTTCCACATACGGAATATTTCCATATTCTCATTTTGACTATCACTTCTAAACAAGAGTCGCCTCTTTTCAGAATATGTCAATATGGTCCTTCCAAAATTAACACTATACTTCCAACTGTCCCTGAGCAACCAATCTATGGTAAACCTTAGATTGTCCTCGACAATTGCTTAATCATTTTAGTCATATCCAATTCTAGACCTTTTCCCTTCTTAATTCCCCAGGCATTTGGAAAATTTTAGAAAGGATGAATATTATAGCACATGCAATCGATCCTATATCCGAAGCATATGGGACACGATTCATGATGTCTCACATAAAGACATGATACTAGACCAGTCCTTTTGCTACAGTATTTCTATTTGCCAAGTTCTCATAATTCAGATTATGAAAAGGGATGTCGTAATCATAATCGAATTTTAGAACGCAAATAATGGACCCATATATAGAATTTCCTTATGTTGAGCCATTCCAACACAAAATTCATATATATCCTTGACTAAAGATGATTAAAACCTCAATCTAAGCTTTTTGAATTTAAATGAATTATAATTTCCTCTCCCTTAATTATAGAAAAACAACTTTTTCAACCCCAGCAACTTCATGAATTGAAACCCTCTTTTTAATAATTAACATTGCTAACTTGCAATACTTGTCATAATTATCATGCTCCCACTAACATGATGATTATTAGCATAATATTTATGCTCCCACTAGCTTTAACATGTATCCAAAAATTAGCTGGACTTCTAGAAATCAATACTTTATTGACTTTCTTACCAAAGTTCAGATTTCCGATACGAGATTGCTTTGATAAGACTTTATCAAAATCATACACCTTATCTTAGATAGCTCACAGGTGTGTCTAAACAATTTCAGAACTATGAAAAGGGATGCCGTAATCATAGTCTCATTTGTTTAGACCTTTGCCATTTCTCACAAGTCCATGTTAGTGTGTCGGTTAACCACGCACGCTCCACTAACGACTTTGAGAATGCAAAGATCACAATTGCTATCTTACTTAAAATCTACTTGGTGGAAGAGTTTCCTCACCATCATTTTCATGAATCGGAGAGAAAACTTATGACCCTTAGATTTTATGGTGTATGTGTTCTTATCCACGTGAATTTGTCAAAACCATAATCACAAGACTAGGTTAGTGACAAATCCAAACTCATATGGATTGAACTTGTGCAATCTTAACTTCTCGCCAGCTGGCAGTACAGGGCCTGCCATTGCTTCCAAGTAGTTATGCAAACAATTGTAGAACTCAAATCTATAGCCAACTTTAATGGAATGGGCACAGAATGTCAATATGTCACATGATAGGTTATAAACCTCACGTCGTGTGCTAGTGTCAAACTACAAGTTTTTATTCTTGATTAGATCTTGAAATTCTTTCAGGATCTTTAAGACTCCCACTGTCTTCTTGACATATAAGACTATCTTGCCAAATATTCAAGAGATAGTGCGGATTCTTTATCAAGACAAACACTTCACACAATTGGCCTTAGTTGGTCTTGTTTTATCCAAAACAACACAAATTACCAACTTCAAATGTACAAAAGTAGGACACTGTTACTCTTACATTTGATAAGTGTTATAAACCCTTCCTTAAGATATGTCACTCAACTTACAGTCATGGAGTATGACTCTAAGACTTGCTTTTGGAACGAAGTATGACTCATCTTCTTGATTTAACCATTTCATCAATTCTTGATTCCTCTTCTTAGCCATAGGAATGAACTAAGATTTCCTTAGAGGACTAATTGTGATATGGTATCTTAATCATTATAATGATCACAAAACATGATACTAAAGTACTCTCCCATCTTTTCAGATTTGAGAAACTTTTATCCTTCTGCCTAATTTGTTTTCTTTCATCATTCTTCTGCCATACATCAAAACTTTTCCAATGTTTCAGAATTATACTTAAACTTGTAAGTATAATCATATTTACTAAACTTTAGTAAATCATGACGAATAGTCTTATCGATCTTTTGTCATGGACTTGATCAGTGCACCAGAATGTGTACTCGATCCCTTAGTCCTTCACTTGACTCACATATACATGTGAACAAGGAATTAATCTTAATTTTCCAAAGATGAAAATTCTCATTCATCATACTATACAACTTGCATGATTTCCAAGTTTCTATCCAACTGAAACCTTGGGTGATGAGAATCTTTCCTTATTTGGCAAATTAGACATTACCACAAATGAAAGAAACAAATCCATTTTCCATTATTGCTATCAATGGAATCATATAAGCAACAATTTTTCACAAGTTCCATTGTAAGGATACTTAGAATAAATAAAATAAAAAAATTCCTTAATTTTAAAACTTTGCGGAAAACTATCCTTACAGTGCAAAAGCATATGAAAAACTTGTAGTTATCTATTCCTAAGCAATATATCATAACTCCTAAGCAACAACTCAAAATTCTGATCATTGAACCATGCGATCGAGATCCATCTTCACGATCAGAATCCGCATATACTTCCTTTAAGTTTCTTCACTTTTCTTTGATCCTTAAAACATCAACATGTGACCCAGTCACATCATGTAATAAGAATCTCAGAATAGAAACTTAAAAGAGTTAGATAGTGGACTTTACCTGAATAGAGTCAAACTTCTTGACTTGATCAACCTTATGATCTTTCAGGTAAATAGGCAGCTTCGCAATCAATGCCCCTTCCTTTGGCAATAGACACATATAGACCCATTGGTAGGACTATCTCAGACTTAGCCATTCTCTTTACCATTTCGTCAACCGAGTTGACTATGGCCGATCCCTTTCCATTGGGCAGAGAAAGCTTTTGCTGGGTATCCAATGTTACCATTGTTAATGTCCATTGAAGGTTTGGGAAGTTGATCTTCTAATCAAATTTGCTTTACTAGTCCTTAAATCATTTCTGATTCAGCAGCACCAAGCAAATAGATAAGATCATTAAGGGTCATGTCATAGTCTGTTTCATAGTAGTCCCAAAGGAACTCACTATGTGACTTAGAAAGTGATTGAACATCCATCTTTCTTAAGACTTTGACACCCAACTCTCCCGGCTTGTCAATATGTGACTTCATCTCCAAGATGCGATCACACATAGATCTTGCTTGCCAATTGGGCTTGAGTGACCTTGAACTTGTGGGTTAGGAAAAATAATTGGAGGAGGTGGACTAACTGAACTTCCAAAGAGATTTGGGAAGATCATAAATGTCTGAACTAGACATCTTTTGGGAGATATTCAAGATAGTTGATCTAAAGTCCTTAATATAACACCCAATATGAAATATTAAGGCTAGGACCCAACACAATATTTTATAACTTGGAATAGGGATGCCGTAATCCAGGCTATAAAATATTTGAAGGTAGGTGAATGACGATTCACCAATTTTCACCATGAAAACGAAATAATTTATTAGGTTTTAATTGGTTTTGAAACTCCTATATTCTTTTGAGATTCATTGAACTTTTTCAATGGCATGTTTCAATCTTGATTGTGCCCTTCAGGTTTTGTGACTGGGATGCCGAGGATCACAAAACAAGGTGTGAAGTAACCATGCAAATTACTTGGTACTCTTAAATGTTTATCACTCAATCGATGTGCCGGTTAACCATACACGCTCCACCGGCCTATGATAAACTTTAAGAAACCCTTTGCCTACTTTGTTAAAACTAGTTAGTGTGCCGGTTAACCACACACGCTCCACTAACAGCTCAAACAAAGTGCAAAGTGTAATTTCATGGATAAGCACCTTATTCACAGTTTCCTAAGTAACTAAGATTGGGAATTTATAAGTGTTTAGTTACTTAGAATTTATCATTATACTTATAATGAAGGGAGAATTATAGTCCTTGTCCTACCCATTCGGCTAACGACCCTCCACCAGTCAAGGAAGCGGTGGGTGAGAGTGGACACCCATTAAGTTTCCATTTTATAGGCAACAACCTTATACCCCCCTTATAGATCGGCTTCGTGAATGAGGCCTACTAACGGTAAGACTGACTTGCTCTTATACATATATATATTATTAACTTATAATACTATAAAGTATAAGGGTTGAATTTTAACTTTTAAAATTCTAAGGGCTTAACTTGGAATTAAAGTATTCATGAGGAGAAAATTTATAAATTCCAAAACTTGAGGGCAAGTTTTGAACTATTCAAAAACTTTTCAATTCCATAACTTATGTGTTTAAAGTAGTTTTAATGAAAAAATTTTCAAGTTCCATAACTTGAGGACAAGTTATGGATGACTTTAAAACAATTAAAAATGAGACTCTCCATTTTTCATAGCTTATGGAAATCTTTATGAGTTTTATGAATCTTAAATGTGACTTTTCATATAACTTGAGGACAAGTTAAAAAAACACATTTTAGAACCAACTCTTAGATTAATTTGGATTGAAAACAACAATTTCACATAACTTTCTTATTAATCTAAGCAACTCATAAGAACAAGATAATTCAAATCAAACATTTTCATGTAATTAGCCTAATCCTCAAACTAATACAAAACATGAATCTATTGACAATTATCTTTGAAATTGGATTAGAATGAACATTACCACATCAAAAACAGGTTTATAGGTTCAAAAACAGCTTAGGGTAATGATTCTAGTCCAATTCCAGCCTTAAAAGTCGAAAATATGCTGTAAGGGGGTCCTACTCGTCGAGTGTATGAACCTACTCGACGAGTAGGATGAGTTTCCTCATGGACTCGGCGAGTCCATCAGTGGACTCGGCGAGTCCATCAGTGGACTCGGCGAGTCCAGTGCGCAGACAGCCCAAAAATCGATTTTTTCAGCATTTTTCAGCACTTTGCATCAAGTATAATTGAAAACAAGCCTAGGCTCTGATACCACTGATGGGTTATGAGCATTCTAACACTCCTAAGTGTACATGCAACCCTAAATACCTTGGATCTATGTATTCTCTATTATACATGCAAATATGAATATTCCAAGGTATTACCCTAACTAGCATACAAAACGTTGATACTTGGGTAATAAACTAGATAGAAATACATACCTTGTTGATGTAGCTTGACTCCATAAAGCTCGAGAGCCTAGTGCCCCAAGTGTGACACCTCAAATGGTTCACACAACATCACCAACACATGGAATAACCATGAGAAGAAGACACTCATGCTCAAATCGGCTAGCCCTCATATATGTATCACTAGTGCCAATTTCTTGAGCTAAAGGGGTCCTTATATAGTGTGCACATTAGGGTTACACCATGTAACCCATGACTTTACCCATTCCTTATGCTCCATTGGTTTTAACCTCCATGGAGTATCCATGGATCACCACATGGGTTAAACCCAACATAAGGAATCATGGATCATAAGCCCACATATATAAGAATGAATGATTTACACAATCAATCCCCATATATTTAATTAGTCTCTTTTTTATCACTAAATTAAGTCCAAATTAATTCTTGATCAATACTAATTAAATAACATGATTTCATATTAATATATTAGAACTTATAATATATTAATATGTCACAAATGTCTTCTCCTCACAAACGGTCTATCCAAATGTTCCAATGCCATGCAACCCAAATGGACCATGCCGAGTCGGGTCAAATACATACCAATTATAGTTATGGACATAGACACTAGTCCAACATAAACATGTATCAAAACATGATGAAGGGCATGAAAAAGCTTAAAAGAAAAAGACATGCAAAAATTATTTGGACCAATTCCACCAGTCATCCCACAGCATGCCCCGAGGAACCATGGAAATAAAAAATATAAAAGATAAAATAAAAGAAAACCAATTTGACCGGTAAAACATTAAGAAAAGAATCACAACACACCTAAGGAGTTTTATAGAACTATGCTCCACATCTTCTGAATCCAAGGAGTGTCCTTCAAATACTTAATAACCTCGAGAGCTTTAGCTCTTTCTTGAATGTTTGAGTTTGCTACATTGAATTGAAAGATCTTCTCTTTAGTATCCAAGATAAACACATCACCATGATCACAAAGAATCGAAAGAATTGAATCTGCTTCACATGAACCTCTTTTCCCTTTGCATATGTACAATCTTGTTTCAAATTCCATTTCTTCAGGTTTCTTGAATCCAGTTGCAACACCACCTTCAAGTGGCACAATACATGCTTTGAAATATGACAAGAATTTATCAGATTAATGACTTTGAATCTCTCTATGTTGCACTGCACGCCCTCCAAGAATCACATCAAGCTCAACTATTTTTATTGCAGCTGTTCCAGCTTCATCCTGATTATCACATTTAGTTGATTTGAATTGAACTTTTCTTAAAAAAAAAGTGTTACTTAATATGGGATATAAGATGTTGTTATACATTGCTTGTATCTTTTCCCAACCAGGAGTGTATGTCCTATCCATAAGCACCTCCTCTCCCATTAGAAGTCTGCAAATGTATGAATGATTAAAATAATAAAATTTTATAACGGAAATAGAAATTGTGAAAGATTATGAGCAAACCCGCAAGACAACGTATGAATCACCCATGTAGAATCTACCATAATCTGATTTTGGCAAAGGAACTGGTTGAAAGTTTTCAATTCTCCATATTTCAAGCCCTATACAAGGTGTTAAATGAAAAACTAAAAACAAATGCAAACAAATCATACATGCATATAATGACTAAATTTCTAGTGTTCTTGAAATTAGATGATGATTATAAAAGAAATTGATGTTGGGTAAGGATACGGTTTAGAACCAACTCCCTGGAATGCAGGTTCAAGAGCTTTTGCAGTAGCCATGGTGCTTGTAATTTCTTAAAATGATGACAGAAGAAAATACCATCATATTTCCCACTGTGTAGTCTCTATATGTAAGATTTTGTGAAAGGAAGCATAGATTAGAACAGTCGTCACTAAAAATTGAGAGAATCAAAATCAGCTTAAGCAAACATCTAATCATCCCTAAAATCATATTCTATGCTCTGAAAATTAATTCATTTAGAAGATCATCTTAAGAATTAGAGAGATTCTAAATGGAGGTTAAGATCATGATATTGAGAAATCTAATTAGATCACAATAATAACAATAAAACTCGCAATGCAATTAACAAACGAGAGACAAATCAAGTACTAACAGAGGGAAGGTTAATTAACAACAACGTACCTGGGATTCGATCTAGTAATTGGCTCCAAAAACGAATTTTGGAGAGACAAATGTGAAATTGAAAGCAAAAGCAACCGGAAACGACGGCGAGGAGGAGGAGGAAGGGACACGGGAAAGCAATCAGAGTAAGGACAAGGGAGAGAAAAATGACACATGATAGAAATAGGTGAAGATAATGATTGATTGTTATTACGATTTAAGTGAGATATGTGAAGCCATGGGAGATCTCTATGAAATCGCAGGTTGGTTTTTAGGTTAGAGAGAGAGAAAGGAAGACGAAGACCTAGGCTTCTTTCTTGCTAATCAGAAGTGGAGGGGGTTTTAATTTTTCACATAGAATAGGCAGCCATTGTTGGGGATTTCATTTCCCGCTTAAAACGTGTGTTTCATTAAAAAATATAAAGCGACACGGTTAGATGACACACATTTTATGATAGGCGTCCTCCGTATTTCTTTTTTTTTCTTTTCCAACACTAATTTCAGGGCGCGCACAAATGCGTGTCCTCTATCCTTCAAATTTTAGAAGATATGACATTATTTTTAGGACGCACGCTTTTGCGTATCGTAAATCACTGCGTGTCATTGTTTGCGCGTCATTAAAGGGTTGTTTTATAGTAGTGCATAATCTAATGGGTCAACATTGGTGCCTTCGACACACAAGTACAGTGAGGAAAAACTCACCTCACAGTCTTAAATGATAATTGAACAAATCATCGGTCCGGATACTAACTTTACTGATCACCTATACAAAAAAACAGTGACCCAACTCAATTTACCACTCAAATTACCCATAATACCCCTGAGTCAACCTTGGTCAAAATCTGGTCAAAGTCAAAATCAAATCCACACTCAAAAGTCCCACAGTTACTCGTCACATCATGACCCTCTAGCAATCACTTTGTGACCTAATAAGTAAAATAGTTGAGGAATACCATCCTCACGCCTAAGGACGCTCTAGACAGAAGTGCTTAATAAAACTCTCAATCCCTTTTTGGACAAGCAACCAAATCCTCCATGGTGTCTTATTTACTCCAGAAATCATAAAAATAAGGGATTTTTGGACATGCATGTCCAATACATGTCCCAAACACTAACTAGGGCACAAAAGGAGGAAATGATACCAAATCTCCTGCAAGAGTCATAAAACTCAACCATATTCTAGATCTAGTATCTATACTAGTCAAGGGACACTAGAGATCCATAAAGTTGGCAACTTTATGGATTCCAACCACTACACCATCTTATATATGAAGGATAAAGCATAAAAATCTAGATCTAACCTTATGGACTCATAAAACAATGAACTGGAAACTCACAAAAGGTCCAAAAGGTGTGAAAATGATTGATGATGAGGCTTGAATGCAGAAATGATGGGGAGTACAAGGAGATGATGGGGGCTGAGGGTGGGCTAACCTTAGCCCTCACTTCCTCTAAATACGGAAATAAAACCCCCAAAATTAGGTTTTCCCCTCAGACCGGCCTCATTTCTTGAGACATATGTGCTCACGTCGTGAGCTCAAAGATGATGCGTGTTTCCATTATTCTCCTCACGACGTGACAAGCATCCCTCACATCGTGAGCCGGGTTAAAATTCCCAATTTTAAACTTGAAAAAAATGCTCACCTGAACTGAGTATTACATGAGCACATTTAGTTTAGTTTTTTTTTTCAATTTGAGAACTTAAGAAGTGTAAGTCTTAATTTGATTTGGCGATTATCAAGTGGATATCTTAATATATTATGTAAGTCATTTTAATTAGCTTATCAGTGTGTTCACCTTTTTCATTTTTGGAACCCACTTCCTGAATATTAGTTTATTCAAATTTCCACAGTCGGTCATACTCTTGCAAGTAAGTATTAATTTAAGATTTTCATGAATGTTAGTGGATTGTTCATAGAGATTAGACATAGCATAGAGATTCTGCTAACACTCATGAGTACTTAATAGATATTTAAGTATTAGAACAACTCGCACTTATAGATTACTTCATGGATCAGGTCACGAGTAATTCTAAGATGATAATATCCCTTATCTTCAAACTGAGATACATATGTAGTTTTTCTTCACAATTTTTTTTGCATTGGTCTACTCCAACGCTATCCGTAACTGGTAGTAATAAAGGTATGTCCATGTATGATATGGTGAGTACACAAAAACTAAGTAGTCAAAGTTTATTTTTTTCTTCTGCCTTAACAGGAGAAGAGGGATCTATGGGCCCCTCGATGATTTGGTGTTTACATTTAAAGTATTTGGTCGAGCCCTAACTAAAACTAATGTGTTCAATTTAGTAGTCTGAAGTATTCATCACAAATCTTTATTGGAAACATAATCTTAAACACTGAGACTGATTGTTATCCATGTTTTAGGTTCATACAGATGTACAGAACAAAGGAATAACTGATCACTTATCTAAGGGTTGAAACTTGATTAGATCAGAGTTCGGCAGTTGCATTCGATGGAATACTCTATGTTTATTATTATAGAAGTATTGGACCTCATATAGTTGATGACTTGTCCAAGTGAGAGACAGTTGGATTGAGTGTCCAATGTCATTAACTAACTGGTAATATTTCTAATAATAGCAGGGTCCTTTTGGGTTGCTCTCATGGCCCAATTAAGCAATAAGCAATTAGGATAAAATAAGTTGTTAATTTATTATGAATTAATAAATTAATTAGAAATTATTTTGGAATTAATTAAATAGTTTTAATTAATTAAATTGGTTGAATATTAATTAATTCATTAGTAATTAATTAATTAGAATATTCCAAAACTCTCCAGAATAAGGATATGGACGTTTTTTCCTTATGGAATAAAGGATCGGGATGGTTTGAAATAAGGATATGGATTATCCTTGGAAATTCGAATCAAACTGGGAACTATAAATAGGATGCTAAGGATCAAACCCTGACACTCTTTGCCTCTCCTAAAATTCATCCAACCCTCTCTTTCTCTCCATATTGACGAAAATTATAACCCCTCTCTAGGTTTACATAATTTTCGCAAAAAGCCTCATCTCTTATAAAGCTCATATTTTCTAGTTGGTGTCTTAGGTGTGATTCCATTATACGGATTCCTGGTTTAGGTCCTCAACATCCAAAGCAAAGTGGCTGTTACTAGATCTCAAGCAAGGAATCATGAAGATCAAGATCAAGAGGTTACTAATTTTACAAGTTTTAATGTAGGTTGCTATAAGAGTAAAACCTATATCCTTAGGATGCATGTACACATAAAGTTAGTTTTATGATTCGGCTGCGCCAACTAGTGTGTATAGAATTCTATAAGAGGCATCATGTAGTGTGATAACATCTATTTTATGCATATATTTATGATGTTTTCTTATTATTTTATACTACGTTTTTATGATATTTAGTACTAAAAGGTACTTATAATGCTTAACATTACATTTTACAGGTATAAATTGTTGCTAGAACGGAAAGGAAGTGAAGAGACTGGAATTGGAGTTGAATTGCAAAAAGCGAAGAAGTGGCTGAAGAGGGCCATTACGCCCAACGTAATAGGGGAATGCCTATTGGGTCGCAAAGTCAGAAAACGCGTTGATTTACAACGTATGCCCAACATAATTCATGAACACCCAACGTTCATAAGTCTGTTCCAAAACCCATATATTGTGATCTAGGATGAACCATAAGGGGGATTACGAATTTTATACTTGCTTGCTCGATAAGAAACACGCCTTCTGCCATTTTGAGGGTCTAGAAGGCGGCTGGAAGGCCGTTAAGCTGACAGGAGCGAAGATCTGAAGGAGTAGGGAGCGGATTCATGCCAGAGATCATGTGGTTTGTTTTTCTGACAATGATTAGCATTCCACTGTGATTCCATTATGTGTTTACTTTTTAATTTAGGTGTTAAACCCTTTTACTTCGTGTTTTTGATTTCATGAATCTTTGAGTTTATGGTTTAAATGCTATATGGACTGTTTGTTCTTATTTAATTTATTTTGTCAAGTTTGATTGCAAGATCCATATATGTTAAATATTGTTACTTTGTTCCCTATTGTTGAATTAATAGAGTTTAGATAACCATTCTGACTGTGTTAATTTGAATCATAGTTGTCCATAACCATTGGTAATTATGACTAGTGTTGGACCAAAACCTAGGGTTAGGAAATAAAGTGATGCACTTTAATTTGTGTGCGTAAGTAGATGACCATTCTATGCATGATTTAACTCCTATGTCAATTAGGGTTAATAAAGATCAAATCTTGCTTAATACGAATTAAATACTGATTGCAGGATTGTTTGTTCACTTGATCAAAGAATTAATAGTTGTGTTAGAATCAAAGGATTAGTAGTCTGACCATGATGCTAGTCATAATGGGAATCGGTGAATAATGAATAAATATCCATTGTAGCAGTAGTTAGCCATTATTTTGAGATGTAATTTGTCTAAATCAAAGTACCTACAGAGATTTGTCTTTAGTCAGTTTATCGAGATTTGCAGTTTAATAGGTTATTTGAGATTTAATTTAATAAAACCCTTATTTATTATTTTTGTGTGATTTGTGTAACCTATAATCAAATATTCTAATATCAATTCACTATCGTTCCCCTTGTGT